GTACCAAAGTACCAAAATTGGGTGACTTAAAACAACAGAAATGTATTCTCTCACAGTTTTGGAGCTTTGAAATCCAAAATTAAAGTTGTTGGTAATGTTGAAAAAAAAAAAAAAATAAGACACCAATAACAAAAAGATATCTAGAAAGTCCCCCAAGATGAGAAAAGTAAATAAAACACTTCTAAATAAGCCAAAGGTCAAAGAAAAGATCACAAGGGAATGTAGAAGATATCTGAACTAAAAAAAAAAAAAAAAAGAATTAAAGTATAACCTTAGTTGCAGCTAAGGCAGTGCTTAGAGGGAAATCTATAGCTATAAATGCTTAGACAAGAAAAGAAGAAAGCTCTAATATCCCTGATCAGAGCTTCTGTCTTAAGAAGCTAGTAAAGAAAAGTAAAGCCAAGGAGATAGAAAGAGGAAAGAAAGAGTAAAGATCAGTAACACAGAAAATGAACCAACAACTGAGAAAATCAATAAAAGCAAATGCTGGATCTTGAAAAGATCAATTAAATTGATCCAGCTAGGCCAATTATTAAGAAAAATAGAGAAAAAATATAATTACCAATTTTGTTAAAATCAAATGAATATCACTGCAGAAGCTACTGATGTTAAAAGGGAATTATGAGGGAATGTTATGAACAGTTTTATCCCAATAAATTTGACAACATAAGTGAGAAAATTATTTGAAAGACACAAATTACCAAAACTGACTCAAAAAGAAGTAATAAGTTGAGTATACTTATGTCATTTATAGAAATAGAGTTTATAACTTAAAATCTTCCCACAAAGAGAATTACAGTCCCAAAGAAATCCTGGTGAAAATATAAGAAAATCAAATCAAGCAAATAAGAATAACCAAGGATAATTCATCCAAAAATATAAGGTTGATCAAAACGAGAAAAAAACATTCAATCATCTGAACAGATGCAGAAAAAAGTATCTGACAAAATCCAATACACCTACATGATTTAAAAAAAAAAAGCCTCTGAAAACTAGGAACAGCAAGGAATTTATTGAACCCAATAAATGGAATCTTTGAAAAACCTATAGCAAACATCATACTTAATGGAAAAAACTAAATGCTTTCCCCATGAGACTAAAACAAGGCAAGAGTAAGAATGTCCCCTCTCACTATTTCAATTTGATGTTGTAGTTCTAGACGTCTATAGTTCTAGAAGGAACAATAACATAGGACATATAGGGGTCTATTTGCACATGACATAATCTCTATGTGGAAAGTTCTGAAGAATCACCTAAAAAGCTAATAAATGAATTTAATAAGAATTCAGGATACAAGGCGAACTTGCAATATTATATATATACTGCATTTCTGTATGCTAGCAATGAACAGTTGGAAAATAAAAAAATATATATACCAGTATATCATCCAAAAATATAAAGTACTTAGGAAAAAAAATCTACCAAAAGATACATAAGACCTGTACACTGAAAACTATAAAACAGAGAAACTAAAGGAAACCTAAATAAAGGGAGAATACAGGGAGATATAAGCTATGTTAGTTGAACAGAATACTCAAGATTGTTAAATTGTCAGTTCTGCCCAAACTGATCTATAAATTCAATAAATCCCAGAAGGCTAATTTGTAGATATATATATTTTTTAAAGATTTTATTTATTTATTTGACAGAGAGAGAGAGAGAGAGAGATCACAAGTAGGCAGATAGGCAGGCAGAGGGAGAGGGAGAAGCAGGCTCCCTGCTGAGCACAGAGCCCGATGTGGGGCTTGATCCCAGGACCCTGGGATCATGACCTGAGCCGAAGGCAGATGCTTAACCATCTGAGCCACCCAGGCGTCCAGGCTAATTTGTAGATATTGACAAGATAACCTGACAATTGTTATGGAAATGGAAAGAAATGAGAATGGCCAAACAATTTTGGGAAACAAAGATGGAAGTTAGAAGATTAAATCTACAGTAATCAAGAAAGAGTAGTACTAGAGTAAAAAGAAATACACAGATCAATGGAATAGAACATAAAACTCAGATACAGACTCATATGTACATAGCCTTGATTTTCAATATAAATGACAAATTAATAAATGGGGGAAAGATACTCTTCAACAAATGGTGCTGAAAACAACTAAATATCCATATGGAAACAACTGAAACTCAACCATCACCTGATACCATACACAAATAATAAGTCAAAATAGCTTATCAGGCTAACTGTGAAATTTCTGGGGAAAAAACAGGCAGAAATCTTTGAAACTTGGAGAAGGCAAATATTTCATGACAAGACACAAGCATGAGCTACAATAAAATGTTGACATATGTGGATATATTGACTTCATAAAAATAAAAACTGCTCTTCAATAAAAGCTGTTAAGAAATTAAAGGACAAGTTATAGACTAGGTGATACATATATCTGACAAAGACCTTATATGTAGAACAAAGAGCTCTTAAACTAAAAATAAGAACACATACATACACCCACAATTTTAAATGCCCAAAAGGTTTGAACAGACACTTTACCAAAAAAAAAAAAGGTCAATAAGCACATGAAAAGATGCTCAATATTAAGTCAGGCTACACAGACTAACTAGAATGACTAAATTAAAAAGACAATACCAAGTAACGAAGAGGCTGTACAGCAACTGGAATTCTTCCACACTGCTAGTAGGAACATAGTATGTACAACTTCTTTGGAAAATGGTTTGAGAGTTTCTTTAAAAAGTTAAAGATATTCCTATCATATGACCCAGAAATTCCACTCTTAGGTATTTAACAAAACTGAAAATATATATCCTCTAAGACTTGTTCCTGAATGTTGATAGGCAGCTTTATTCTCACAGTTTCCCAAAACTGGAAACAACCAAAATGCCTAATTAGAGGTAAACAGACTACGGTGTATCAATACAATGGACTATAAGCCTGAAGCAAAATAAAAAAACACACACAAAAAAACTATTGATGCAGCAACAACAGATGAATCTTAAAAATATGGTGAGCAAAAGACAAACACAAACGATTGCATGTATTATAATCTCATTTACATCAAAGTCTAAAAGAGGCAAAGCTATTTTACTGTGAATTATAAGTCAACTGGTTGCCTGGAGCCACAGGTAGGAGAAACTGACTGGAAGGGATATATGGTTACGTTGGGGGTGGTGGTGGTAATGGAAGTGTTCTAAGTCTTGATTTTGGTGGTATATAGGAGTTATACATTTCCTAAAACTCATCGTACTTTTATACTTAAAATGGATACATCTTATTATATGTAAATTATACTTTAATAAAATTTGAAGGGGGGAAAAACCACAGAGGCCTTTCTCCAACCTATGTGATAATCTAAGCCCCTCTTCTCAGTTCAGTTCCCAGAAAACTCCTACTTTTCCACACATGTCCTTGATATTTGTCCTTAGAACTTATTCTCTTGAGAAGCCATTACCTGCCTCCAACCTGGGATCTTCTTACTACCACCATTACCACTGACCCCAGATCCTTTTGGAAAGTAGCATATAGACTTTTCAATTTTGCCCTCGCTTACTCTTAAACAGACTCAGAGATACTTTTTGTTTTCCCGTATTTGCTTTGTTTTCCCATTTTTACTAGACTTAACTACAGGAAAAGAAAAGTAAATAATGATAACCAAGAATGAAAGCTAGCAAATTCTTCCAGAAGACTAGAATATATTATCCATTCTAAGTTTTATCTTAAATGATTTAAGTAAGAAAGATGCTAAATTTTGCCTTTGGAATCAGTCTACAAAACTTAGAGTGCCCTAGATGTTAGAACAAATTACTAAAATCTTGGTCTTTCTATAATATATGGTATGTCCTGCTATGTCTGTTAAATTCCTGTTCCCTCCAATACCAGGAAATAGTAAAAGTTTTAAATTACTTTAGAGAGATACATACCTGAGGTTAAACATCAGTTCTATCACTTAGGTGTATGACCCATAGCAGTTAGCTTCAAATGTAAAATGGCTGGGCTGCCTTAAAGGAAAGCAAAATTATCTTTCATGGCTACTAGAAGTTCAGATTATCCATTATGTTCTTCCTGTCATCACCTACTCTTAATTCACTGCAGGATTTCATGTCTTCATGCTGCAAGTCCAACCACAAATCTTGACATCATATTATAGAGAGGATTGCAACCAGGTGGTAGATTTAGAATTGATAAATAGGAAGTAAGGAATGTTTCTACACAGATAGGTAAATAATGATAGCAAAACTCAGATTACTTTGCCAGGGATCAGAAGTCTCCAAGAAGCATTCCATTCGATAAGGCTCCCAAGTAACAATTTTCATATTATGTTTTTTAGAAAAGGGGAAAGATAGAGGAAAAATGGATGGAAGGAGTCAAATACACTACTTATTACTGTTATATATATATATATATATATATATATATATATATATGCGAAATAATAATAGTCATTAAACCCCCTACTCAAGAATCTTTGTTGCTTCCCCATTTCCTAGAAATCAAAACCTGAATTCAAGTATTTGACATTCAAGACTTTTCATACTCTCATCTGGGCCTATTTTCTTCCATGTGCTTTATGCTGCATTAAAATTAAAATGCTAATTATTTCTCATAAACATCCCATATTTTGTCAACTCTGACATTATGCTCATAGATCTGATCTTAAATATCTTTTCCTCCAACAAACTTCATAATTGAAATCAGTCCTTTCATCCTTGCTTCCTCCCTTCAAGGTCCAATTAAAATGTCACTTCCTCCATG